TAATAATAATATAATAATAATAATAATAATAATAATAATAATAATAATAATAATAATAATAATAATAATAATAATAATAATAATAATAATAATAATAATAATAATAATAATAATAATAATAATAATAATAATAATAATAATAATAATAATAATAATAATAATAATAATAATAATAATAATAATAATAATAATAATAATAATAATAATAATAATAATAATAATAATAATAATAATAATAATGCTCTTTCTTAGTATAAATTAAAAAGGATATATAGGAGCATTCATTGCAACTGAAAGGAGGTATGCAACCATTCCTTCAAAGGAATCTTCACTACCTCACTTAAATCGCTGATCCAACCGTATTTGGCTCTGTTTCCGTTTTATCCTCCAATAATTCATTTCAATCTTTTCCTCGAAATCGAAGTAACGGTTGTGTCCCATTCACGTTAAATTTTACTTAGTTAATAAGTACTCTCTGTATTCCTGATATTCAGCTACATGAAAAAGATCAGATCCTCACCAATCCATCCACTGATGACTCAATCTCAATAAAACAGTTTCTCTTAACTAAACATGAGAAACTAGCTTTCTTTCAGAAAAAGAAGCAGGGAAATCGAGTTTTATTTGTTGCGAAAAAAGAAAACTAAATTTTTCGCAACAGCTAATGACAACACGTTTATGAGTAATTAAGCGAGAGATTTCAGTATACCTCATGCAGGTTCGATATCTCCACATCTACCTATCATAACGCTGACGTTGATATGGAAGAGAGAAATTTTGGAATTTAATTGTTGACTCTTCTTCAGCCAAATAAACTTGAAGCAGTAGTTAACGCCGATAAATATATCAGGTTGTTTCCATTGGCCCTTGAGATCACATAACTTATCTGTTGTTGGTATTTCGACCATTTGCAGTCCACTCGTTAAGTAGTTGATTATATGAGCATTACTTTTTATTACTTTCCTTTCTTTAGCTATAGAAGTCAAGAAGCCGACTAGAGAACTCGGAATTAGACGATAAGAGTAAACCCTTACCTAAAAAAAGGAAAAAAAGGGCGATATCCATTTATCCCTTCACAGGAATCTCCATTACTGTCTTTATCTTGTAATTACAATAAATTAATCAACTTCATGTCATTCAATTTTTCGCTTTCTAAGTTGTCTGTAACCTTTTCTTAGTCGTGTAGTTGAGGGTCACCTATCATTTCATGTGATTCGCGATCAGGAAAAACAACAGGATTGTCGACATGTGTTATGTATCATGATGATTTTATTAACCCATATTTTTGGTTCGCTTACTTGTTCAAACCAAGAAAAAGATTCATGAAACCAACTCTCCTTCGCCTTAAGGAATTTTCAATTTTAAGTCATCAATCCTGCATTATTTCAACCTTACCCGCTTGGAGTCCTGATATTCTTTGTATTCGGTCATCTCCATCATTTCAAGCTGTTTCTCCCTTCTTTTACACTTCAAATAATTTTTTTGAAGTTGCTCAATCTTAAGCTGACCATAGAACATATGGTCAATTCAAGCATTTAAAGAGACGTCGTCAAATTGTCATATACGTCACCTTACTCCGTTCTCTAATTGTGCTTTAAATTCTGAGATCTTCAATCTAGTGTGAGAACAACTGATTCATATCACACTGATCATCCATATTCTGCCCTCAACATTTCTACTTATTTGATCAAGCACCGTAACTTATT